GCCAGCGAGGACCGTGACACTGTCTATCATTTTTCAAACTGTGGGCTGCAACCATATGTGTATTATAAACTTAATTTATTGTACCACGACAGATATTTTTAAGAAAACAAAATAGAAAATAGAAAATTTAAAAATAAAGATAGCATCATGAAACTTTTTTTAACAGCTGGCTGTGGCCAAAAAGTTGAGAAACCAGCAGTCCACGCACAGCTGTGCAGACGAGGAAAATGGGCCCTGGGACCCAAGTCCATTCATTGTGAAGTCAATGCCTGGGCCAATACCAGGTGGTTGGTTTGGGTGTTTCATGAGATCAAGACATGGAAGAGCCACTCATATGCACATAAACAGGTGTCATTCTTCTCTTCACATGGGGTTAGCCATGAGGGTGTGGTACTCCTGGAAGAGGACCAGAGGGAAGACAGGGACATGATACCCACGCTTTCCCACTCCAGTCTAACCTATGAGGCCTCTTCCTCCTAAGCTAAACCAACAGGTTTCTCTAAATACAGTGAGGATGAACCAATGCTGGTAACAGCCTCTCCTAGAAAGTTAATTTTCTGGTTCAGCCTACCAGGTGAAACATCAGAGCAGAGCATGCTACCATGGGGACTTTTCTGACAAATGTCCACCACTCCCAATTACGACAGGTAAGACAGTGAGTTGCTATTTCTGAATTTTCCAAAAATTCACTTGAGGTGTGCCTCCAATTTTTAAGTGCTCAACTGCAGTCTACAGAAATAAAGTTGTTTTGTGGGCTCTTGGGGGGAAAGGTCACAGAGCCAAGTTCCATGGGTCTTCATCTCGCTACCACGGAGCAGCTATTTCTAAGGCTTAAGAGACCTGTGAATGAGGGCAGGAAATTCATTACTCAAAAAAAGATCTTAGAAAATATCTTTCCAAGAATCAGATGTCCAACATATTTTTAAACTTTTATGGCTCTTTGAGTTGGTATGCTCAAAACTGAAAGCAGTGTATTTCTATGAACTAAGGTTCCCTTCAGCTCATTTTTTGTTCTGGTTAAAATTACGCAGCATATGGTTAGTAGTGTCTTTGACTCAGGATGTGAAAGATGGTTTACTCCTATAGTCAGCGTTATTTTTCAGGCTGTGAAATGCAAACGTTCCCCCTTGAGATGGCTTAGGATGACATGCTTTACTCTGCCCAGCTTCTTACTGTGTTTGTTCTGGTGCATTTTTCCTTTAAGATTCTGAACGTGTGGTATCCTTTCCCCCAGAGCATACCTGGGGATTCACACCACATGTGATGCAGGCACATGAAGGACGGGGGCCATGTAACCTACCATCCCTGACATGCAAACACAGCTGACAAACAACAGACTAGGAACCATGCTCAGAAATCCTGACCAACAGAGGAGACAGTCTGTGAACAGAACCAAAATACAAACGCAACACAAGTGACATAAATTGAGCTACATAAAGATAATCATTACAAATATACTTCCCAGTGCAACTGCACTGGCCCACCCGCCCACAGAGAAGGAAGGAGGGAAGGGATAAGGGGAAATGACAGAAAAAAAGCTAAAGCAAACTACTGAATGGAGGACACCTGATTCATGCTAGGATAGGCTTCTTACGCAGCTGAGATTCTTTTGGTCTAATGCGTCAAGAATATCCGGTTCTGCCAACAAGAGAGTTCCAGCGAACTGGACAATCAGGGGCATAAGCAGCAACATCACGGCTTTAAATGAGCTATGGAGATAGCAGGTTTGCCTTCTCAAAAGGAATCTTTACATATGTATATGCTCTAAGGTAGCGATCTCCAACCTTTTTGGCACCAGGAATCGATGCTCCTGTAAGAATCTAATGCCTGATGAATGATCCGAGGCGGAGCTGAGGTGGTGATGCTAGTGCTGGGGGAGCGGCTGTGAATACAGATGAAGCTTCGCTTGCTCGCTCACTGCCTGCCGCTCAGCTCCTGCCGTGCAGCCTGGTTTCTAACAAGCCACGGACCGCTATCGGTCCACAGCCCAGAGGTTGCGGAACCCTGGTCTATGGGAAAAACACCAGTCCAAAAAAGAGTAAGGAACCTTTCTATACCTCTTGGAAATATGGGTAACACACCCCGGCTCCTTTCAAGTTATGAGCACTCCCTGTTCTGTGCTGAAGTTTTTCCGCACAGACATCTAATTCAACACCATGGTCCCAGGGGCCAGAGGCAAGCATCCTGAACAGAGAGCATAAGGGCCATAACTCACCGTGCTCCTTGCCAGGAAAATACCTTTAGAACGTTTTCCCATAGGGATGTTCCACATACAACTTGCCACACTCCAGGATCTTTGGCCAGCTTTCAAATGCTTTCTATTTATTAAATATTTAAAAGCCCTGATAACAACTGAAAGAGACTATCCTTATTTGTTAAGGTCAAGGAGAAGCACTGAGAATAAAGTCAGAATCCTTAAGACTTTTCCCACCAAAGAACAACTCTTTCTTCTATGAAATGTTCTGTCACTTAAAATAAAGGCAGATGGTAATTCAATTAAATTCCTAATTGGTGTCAAAATAAATCACGCTTAACTAATAAAGTTTCTAGAAAACACCCCGGTTGGCTAAAATCCTACTGCTCTTCTGGTTCTGAGTGACATTTCAAGGAAACATTACAGTGAGATCAGCCATCAGTATAACTAACTACAAGCCAGGACAAAAGTAGGGAAGGAGGCACACTGTTAGAACGAAATCCCACTGGGCACATGGCACCCAGGCCCTCCCTGGTCTGGCCCCTGCCCACCCCGGTGCAGGGGTCAACAAACTCTGGATGGGGCAGGCCAAATCAGCCCGCAGCTAGAAGTGGCGTGTATTTTTTAAATAGTTTGAAGAAGGAACAACAACAAAAAGAATTATCTTGAGACAAGATAATTACATGCAATTCAAGTTTCAAGGTCCATAAACAGGTTTACCGGAGTACAGGCAGATCTGTTTGCTCACGTGCTGTCTATGGCAGTTTTCACACTACAACGGCAAAGGTGAATAGTTGTGACAGAAACCGTATGGCCTGAAATATTAACCACCTGTTCCTTTACAGAAAAAGTTTGCTGACCCCTATCCTGGCACATGCCATGCTCTCACGTTTGCACTTGCTGTTATTGCCTCTCTATGGAAGTCACCCCGGCCCCTTGGCTTTGTATGGTCAGTTCCTACTTGTCCTTATATCCTGGCTCGAATGTCATCTTGTCTGCATGGCCTTTCCTGAATACTTAATCTACAGACAACTCCCCCAGCCTCACTTGTCTATCTTCTTCATAGCTCTTACCTAAAATTGTCTTATTCATTTACTTATGAGCTGTCCTTCCTCAGGGAGACCCTCACCTGTCATGCCCACTGCTGTATCCCTAGTGCCTGGCAGAGTATTTGTGAACTGTATGAACAGTGACCACGCTAGTTGTATAAATGGAGCAAAGCCATATTCAGGCCCCAGTCTCCTGTCACCAGAGACCCAAGCTGAAGAGACTGCCCTGGCTTTGAGCATCACGGTGTAGTTTGTTCGACGGAGAACAACCAATTAAAACTTGTTATACTTCTCAAATATTAAAGAGGTTATATATAACAACTAAACTGGGCTGTAAGTTAAGAACACGATGTGTTTTACGCCAAAAAGACGGGGCAAAAAGGGTCTACCACCCCATGGTTTCTCGGCAGAGTGACAGGTGCCCGGCGCCAGCTTTGATCCTCCCGCCTTTGACTGTCCACTGCCCCTCACAGGGGCCTGGCATTTCGGTGGTATCCAGCTCTGATTAAAACTTAACTTCCTGCCTATAAATAGAAACATCTTTTAAACACTAATTAAAAATAACAGGCTGGCATTTGGAAACTCCTATAAACAAAAATATAAGAGCTGAAATAAACAGCAACAGTTGCACATGTGATCTATGCTCAAGTGGGTAAAAAACTGTCTTCTCTGAAGCTTTTCCATTAATTCTTGAATTTATGGGGCTTTAAAATGTATAGCATTGTCTATCTTACCTTTTAAATCTAATAATTAGTTAGCTTTTCTCCATTTACTCTATTTTAATGACTGCGAAATTAATTTTAATAGCATTTTATTTAACCCAAGATATCTAAAATATCATTTTCACATTTTAATTAGTAAGAAGAAATTATTGGTGCAATATTTTGGTTTTTATTTCTTTTTTTTTTTTTTACTATACCACGTCTTCAGTATCCACTGTGAATTTTACACTCATAGCACATCTAAATTCAAAACAGCCCCCTATCAAGTGCTCAGCAGCCACACATGCCCGATGGCTGCCATACTGGACTGCACAGTTTAAAAATGTTCAGTCATTTTCAACAAACCATACTTACTTACATTTTAGGAGTTTTATATAAAAAAGCTTTTCTCTTTTTGACTCTGTGCTTGTTTTTTTACTTAAGATGACTAAATACAATAAATATTTTTATTTTATATACATAAAAAAAATCCCTGGAACTCATCTTAGGATTCACATTGCATTCTTTACGATAAGCTAAAAGATATTAAGAACCACATTGCTTTCCCACAAGCATCCAATTTTGCTTTTTAAACCACGGCTGTTAGATTTAGTTTTCATTTCCTTTACACATGGCTCCTTTCCTGTCCTAACTGAATGCAACCAAGAAGCTCTGGCTCATCTGAGCCAAGGCCAAGTTTCATTAATGTGCAATAGGACGGTGCCACCGTCATGCACAAAATGACCCGCCCGAGCTTACAATTCAAAAGCACTCCACCCTGCCTGCCCACTCCTTTAGGAGACTTATGTCTTTCTTTATGATCTAAGAGAGAAAAACTCAGGATCTTAGAATACCCCAGTAACAACCAGGTTCCGGGGACCCCTGCTGGAGTGACTACAACCAGGGAAGCAGTTTACACTCGGCTGGAAGTGCTTGCTCTTCACTCATAAGCACACAGCATGGGACTCTGCTAATGAAAATAGCAGTTTCAACAGTTTGGGATGTGATGGGATCACCTTTCTTCACAACTGTGAGGGCAGGGCGTTCTTGGCTTACCTCTGCATCCTGCTGGGGGAGGTGGTACGTCCTTTCAAGGCTCCGCAGAGTTCTGGGGTTCAGGGTCTTCTGCTCCAAGAGATGCTCCAGAAGCAAGACCAGCTGGTCTGGAAGAAGCTAAGGACAAAACCAAACAGCCAGTGAAAATGCCATTCACCTTACAAGAAATAAACCCAAACGTTTAGAACAAAGACAGCAAATCCAGGGTAACCTGGGTATTTCAGTAGATGTCTGAAACGGGAAGACTGTAAACTTGATTTTGGTAAAACCTCGGGGTTTACACTGTATTCCCCAAAGACAATGCATTCTGGGGCCTGATTAAGCCTGCTTCTTTATGGCTTATCATGTCACTTCTATATTTACAGTAGTTCAAAACTGTGTTTATCTTTTTTCATTTTTTAGGTTGTACGACGTAATTTCTTAAGGTGTACAAGATGATGATTTAATACACGCATACACTGTGAAATGATAAAGACTGTATTATTTTATTAATAATTCTCATGGTTTATTAGATTCTTTACTTCATGGCATGCCTATGCCACAAATGTCATTTAGCCTAGACAAACATTCAAGAAACCATTGATCTTAGGCAAACATATTGGAATAACAGAAATAAGAAGCCGCTTTCAGATTTCCTTCCTTACCACCTGAACCCTGTAGATGTACATCAGGAAATAAAGAGCATATAATGAAACAAGAACATGTCTCACAATCCATTATAAAAAATTATAAGTTTATTATTCCATTAAAAAAATAAAATGTGCACATCATTACACGCACACGGAGTCACTCATATTCCTGTTTTCATATAGGACAGGTAAGAAATGGTGTTACTAGTAGTTAAGGGCAAAGAGAGGAGGGTGTTTTTATATGGTATAAAAACAATGAAAACTATTTTATAAACAAACAAGATTTGTGAAATCTAAGAGCTGAAACTATCTTATTCACTACTGTGCTGCGGTGCCTAGATGAGGCCCTAGAGCAGACAGAGCTCACGTAAACTATAAATGAAGGAAAAAATACATGTATGATATATATTGTGGAAAATGAAAAATGTTCTATGATTAAGGTTTTAAAATATTATTATGAATTCCACTACTCTCTACATTTAGCTTTTCTCTATCCCTCCTTATGCCCAGGTAGTTTCTGTCAACGAACCCAAATTTACAAGTATGCAAGTCAATACTAGGCCAACAGGATATTCGTAAGAACATCTCAAAGAAATGTTTTAAGTTATTGGTTTCTCTACCTTTCTTTACCTTTGTGCTCCCAAGTGTGCACTCTGCCTGCCCCCCATACACAAATGCGCACGCACACACACAGACACTTTCCCAAAAGGCGGGAGGGGGAAAATCGGGTGGACTGCACACACAACATTCATCACGTAATGCCACAAAGAAAGCATTTATTGTATTTCTTTACCTTGCCCTCCTAAGTTCTAATAAAACACCCACTTCCCTACAGACAGGCGCAGATACACGTCTCTTGATTCTTGGGCATTTTTACTTTATAACATCCCTCCATGTATTTAAGAGTTGTGCTGTGAATCCTCTCTCAGGTTGACAGGAGAAACTAGAGGCCTTCAGCCGAAACAGAGGGTTACAACCAGCACTGACCCATGAGGTTCTCCACAAGGACTCACAATGCTTAACACTTAATTTCCTTTCCTTAGAAGTCATGTGCCTGTAAGATGCTTTAAAGATATAAAGTTACTACATAACAACTGTTAACGAGAACACTGGTTTTCCATTTTCTATAGTTTTAGACACATAAGGCTACTTTTATATTAAAAGAAATCTGTTTTATAAAATGGCCAAATTCAGGGCCACCAGCCTTTGGAGAGCTTCCTCACCCAGTTACACCGTGAACCCTTTGCTACTGGGTACTCGTGGGGTTCTTTACCTCCTCTGACTTGGCAGCTCGGCCAGCACCCAAGCTGCCTGGACCTCCTCCTGCCTAGCCGTCTCGCCCTGCAGCCTAGCCTCCCTCTCCGGACCTTTCTTCCTTGAGTTCCAAGAGGGGCCTTTTGACAGTGGAGGTTGAGCCTTCAGCCCGGCCTTGAGTGCATCCCTCACACCCCTATAGTCACTCCCTGACTGTCCTTCTGCACTTGAACCATCATCACAGAGTCTGCCTTTTCTCCCTCATCATGGTCTCTCCCGACCCACTTCATCTCTTTCTAGTGTTCTCCACGCGACCCCCACCCCAAGGTGGCCTGGCTTGAATGCCCATCACACAGCAGTCCACCTGCCTCTATGGGGGCTGGAGTGGGGAGGGCTCCAGACTGGGTCAGAGTAGCCACCCAGCCTTGTACCTCCGTGGGTACTCTCAAAACTGGTCAGCAGCCAAGCCCAGGGCAGCAACAGTTCAAATGTTGAGGCCACTCAGGACACAGGAAGACGGCTTCTGGAGAAGGGCCCAGCCTGATACAGTGCAGAACACCCACTGGCTGGGGGTGGGGGCCTGGTTCACTGACTAAATATAGCAGGAACCAGCCTGGCAATTTGCAAATTGCAGAATTACAGGGAAGGACAGAGAAGAAAGGAAAGCATCTCCCTATTATGTGCCACGCTCACAAAGAGGTCTATTGTTGGAACTCCCATTTGAGATTTAGTTTAAACCAGAGAACCAGAGAGGAAAGAAACCCTTGAGGAAGATCATGAGCTTGATCCTCAACTTACCCCTAACTGGGTTTAACCAATAAATGCAATTCCAGTTTAAAATCAAAGAATTACTAATATTTGAACCTATCAAAATGTCTGGATTCGTATTTTTATATCTCTTGTAGCTTTCTCTAAGTAGAAGTTCATGCATCTGCACACAGAAACAAAACAACAGGATCGGTGATCGTTTCGGTCCTGTTCTAACTTTACGCAATGGAAAAAATATTTGAAGCTTAAGCCCCCTGACTAAAGATAAACATCTGAGATGGAACGGAGGGAGTCAAACCTTTGCGAATCTTTAATAAGTTTAATTTACTCTAATTGGAGATAGGTAAAGAGCAGGCATGCACGTAGCCCTCTAGGTAGCCCTCCTCAGCTTGGAGGCGCCAGCAGACTGCTCTGCTGCAAGAGCTGGCTTGTTCAGAGGGAGCAGAACCAGGACATGCACGCAGCCCTGAGTCCTGCCCAGTGCTGTGAGTGCTGCTGGTTCCACTCTCCAGAATGGGCTGTGTAAGTGACTCTCATTCAGTAAACAACCTGTCGCCATCTGCCTTTCAACTTTAACTCTTCTAATTCCCGGAAAATGTAGTTTCTTCCCAATGAGAAAAGTAGAGAACATCAATGATCAAATGCTATTTTAGAACACAGAGAATAAAACTAATTCAGTATCTTTCATTCACAAATGAGTAAGTAACTGTTACATCATTTTTACATGTGAGTACAGACCTTGAAAAGAGGATATTAAAGCAAAAATGTGGTGAGTAGCTCGCTTTAATACAGTACATTTCTCTTTGTAAAATAAACATTTACTCCCTGTAAAGCCACCCTACAATGAAAAAGAAGAACTATGTAATAAACCAAAGTTTGCAAAGCAACTGAGAGAGATACACTACAAATGAGCTTGGATGCAGTGCCGGGCGGCTCGCCCTGGCAGCTGGCACGGTGGCAATGGGAAATGTGTGGGTCATTCCACTCCCACCTACGTAGAAATCAAATTAAATTTCACATGACTCCTAGGCCAACTGTGTTTTAATACAGTGGTACCGGAGGAAACAAACATGGCTTTAGTCACACTACGGGGAGATTAAGAAAAACAAAGTACATGTTTTAGAATATTCTCTCGAAAAAGCAGCTCTTTTGAACATTAAAAAAAGAACCTGCCTTTATTTCTGGGGGTCTTACAGTGCTCACAGGCACAGTTCAACAGTGACAGGAATAGAAAAGTCCTGTCCTCTGCAAAAATAAGGAATTCAAGATGGGATTATTTTTTCCATACAGAAACCAGTCGGTATTTTTAAAATGCATCTTCCTCGGAAACTTAGACAAAATAAGGCTATGGGTGCCAGAGTCATGTGGGTACTTGAAATAGAGAACTCCACAACACTGTAAACTAACTCAAATACAAAAAAACAAAATGCTAAAGGAGGTCAGTCAATACAAATGCTATTTGTTAAGGATTTAGAGGTCTGTATTCTTGCTCTAAACATGGAGGATTTCGTAGTTGCTAACTAACCAGAAATGTACGAAGAAAAAGAAAAGTCTACCTGGTATTTTTCCTATTCAACTTAAGAGCTGAGGCAAGCCGCACAACTTTGAACGGGTTTAAAGAGTTTCTACGTAGACTCTTAGAAAGAAAATATGAATTTTCCAAATCCATTCTCCCAGTCTACAAGCAGCACAAAGAAAACAAACCCTGACTCTTCCAGAAGCCTCTTACTGCTGTCACAGGGGACATCACTCACCCCTGGCTCCCAGAAGGACCACCCACGCAACTGAGACCCTCCACCATCTCTTCCATTAGCAGGACGCAGAAGAGGCCAGCTCGTCTCCTACAGAAAATGTCACGGATGTGTCCCACTACTGACCTTCCACGGGCAGGCGCCGAACACAAGGAATCCGGTGCACGTGAATACCCGAGCCCCTCGGCCTGCACCCCTCCGAAAGCAAAGGAGAGCACCTCCCCTCGCGGCCCAGCTGGCGGCTGCAGCCACGAAGGAAGTCTCTGAGAGGCTCCCAGACCGGGAAGGAGCCTGGGACTAATGCAGCCACCGACTGACAGTGGCGTGAGTTCTATTATTACCCCATTATCACTCTGGGATCTGTGCCTAAATGAAGCATGCTTCCTCCCTGATGCCATTTCCTTTTATCCTGGCTGGAGACTAAAAGCAGATCAATGGGGGCAATACATATGATGTCACTTCAATTTACAGCAATGGCCTCCCTCTCTCTTTCAGTCTGTCTGAAATACACAGAAAGATCAATTCTTCCCAAAAATGGTTAAAAAATGCTTAGGGAGCATTCTTCTTCCAGAAAAGTATTCTCTGCTATATTTGTCTATGTTTCTACGGCAGGAACTGTTTACACTGAACAAAAACAGAAGAAATGGGGGAGGGAGAAAATCTCAAATTCTCCTGTATGCTGGAGACTTGCTGGCTCAAATTCAACACAAGCAGG